GATTTCTTCTTTTTGGTTGGATTTTGTTGTTTGTTTGTTGTCTTGATTCATGCACTCAGTGCTTTTGGTTGAGGCATGGGTTTATGTTTGTGTTCAACTTTGTTTGCTTAAAAATCTTTTGCCATATTTTACTTTGGTTTCATTTTCTTGTTTTAAATCTTAAGTATGTGATGTAAGTCAGTCCTCTGTAATGCTTCTGGAACTGCATAGTGACCTGGGATCATTACCTCTGCTCTGTTACATTGCAGCTGCCCCTTTTATGTCCCACAAAAGGTTCCATTTCAGTTAAGGGTCCACCTACTGCTCTATGGCTCTAGTCAGGATCACCATCTCTCTGGACCTGGGGTTACAGACACAAGCCTTGTGTCTATTTCTATTTCAGAAAATAACACAATTCCATTTTTTGTACCTGAGCATGGGCCTCCTAACTGGATCTCCTTCCATGCTTCTTGTCCAATATTTTTCCTGGGGAATTATCCTAGGAATCCCTGTTGAACTCACTGTGAACATCAGCTGTTTCATGTGTTTTTGAACTTTGTGTGAATTACTAAGCTGCTAACAGATGTACAACTGAATTTTCATCAAGGACATTGGAGTATACTTGTGTGCACGTGTGAGTAAGTGTGTGTGTTTCAGTGCCTGAACCTATGTGTTTCTGCATGCATGTACCTATTTGTAGTATGTGTATGTGCATGAATGTTCACTTGTGCACCAGCACTGTGTGTGTGCATGTTATGGATTTGGCCTCAGGGGAATACTGGATGTCAAGACTAATGTATCCTTGTGTCTGGTGATTCTTCTTGAGGAGAATCTGTCCCTAGTATACTGTGAGGTCTGTAGGTAAATCCATCGGGCAATCTGCTGGCCTGGTGTTTCCTTGTTAGCAGAAATTGTATTACCCTTTCCATCTTATCCCTAAATTGATCCCTTTGCATGTTTTGTAACGTCCACAAATATTCATCGCACACAGAGTATATTAGGTGGCAGGCAGCAGGTTGTATGTAGAGTTAATAACAACTTATCAATGCTGGTGACTTTTCATAGTTAAAGAAATTGCCTTCTTTCATGAATATCACCTCTCTAGAGTTAATTCGTAACACACACACACACACACACACACACACACACACACTCACACGATGCCCTAGATCTTACTTGTCTTTCGTTCATACATGTGTCTTGTCTTACATTTCACTGATTCCTATCATGTCTCTGGGTGACACTGGGTTGTCAGACTTCTTCATCCTTTCAAATCACCAAATTTTCCATTTGATCTTTGTTCCTTTGGTATTTGTTTCAATCTCTAAGTAACCACTTATCTCAACTCTGAGCTTCTTTATGCTTAATCATAATTGCTTTGGGGTTTGGGTTGGTTTTTTTTAAAACCTCTGACCCCAAGATTATCATTAGGATGTTGAGGTAGCTATAATTTTCATGAAGTATAAATTAGAGCCACAAACTCCTCTCCTAAACATACTTTTGTCTTTTTACTTGTAACATCTTGTGGTAGTCCAAACTCCATCTGTCACAGTGGTGAACATGGAGGAACAATTTCTGTTCATGAATATCTTGGATGGAGATTTTCCATCACCATCCAGAGAAACTGGTTCCAGGCTGTCCATATCCACCATTGTAGGTGCTATGTGTTGCTTAGGCCCCATGGCCGAAGAAACCCTGGGACTCATAGAAAAAAAATAGGCTTAATGATGCCCCGACAAAAATCAATGTGATCAGCGGGAGAAAACGTGGTGGTAACATCCTAGGAGAAATATGGCATGTCCCAAAGACCCATTCTCCCAAGAGTCCTACAGGTCCTCCCACTGCCCGTCCTACCCTAAAGAGGGCAAGGAGTGAACCCGCCTTGCCCACATTCGTGGCATCTGAAGACACCAAAGGGCAGGAGATAAATAAAGTGACAGAAAGCAAGAGCTCCTCTAGGTCCAGCTCTCCAGATTTGCACAAGCTGCTGGATATGAGCTGGCCTTGGAATTCTGCCCCACGGTTTTCTCCTGTGCCTGCCCCCATTAAGAATAAAACAACAGAGGACACAGACGGCACTGCCTCATCTGATGACAGTGACACATCTGAGGATTCCCTCTCCTGCCTGAGGGACACCAGTGCTTATTATAACTCAACTCCCCACGATGCTGAGGAGGCTGAGAGTGAGGAGACGGGCAGTGACACCATGCTCAGTATCACACCCCTCGATGACAACGAAATAAAAGTTGAGGAGTCACCACCAAAATCTAGCAAGGACCAGCCCCAGGAGGTAGCCACGGCCTCCAAGAAGAAGCACAGAAGGGGCTGGAAAGGGGTGAGGAGGCAAATTAGTCATCTGTTTTCCAGCTTATTCTGTTGCCTCCTCACCCCAAAGACAGAAGATACAGTCCCCAGGTAAGGGACAGCAAGGCATGGGAAATGGAGTCCCAAGGAAACCCAGTAGGAATGGTCAGTGACTTTCCCTTACGTATTTCATCTTTGAATCTTAAGGCCCGTAGCCACTGATACTCTGCTCCCATGTGTAGGACATGAGCCCTAAGATGTCTGTGGCCCAAGAAGGAGCTTTCTCACTGGACCGCTTTATGTGGATCCTGGGGAAGTAGAGCCTGAAACAGACAAGCAAAAGATGCAGCCAGAGACAGTTCAGAGGAGGAGATGGGAGTTGGGCCTGGGGACTGAGAAAAGGTTAGGGGAGAGGAATCACATGGAGAGCTATGGGACATCAGGGTGGCTCAGTGTTAAGTCACTGTGCCGATGTCACAGTCACTAACAGAGTCCTTTTCTTGTGCCTCTTTCAAGGTCTGAAGAACAGGCCTGGGCCCATGGGTCTTAAGCCACGGGACTCAGTTCGGCCTGGTGTGGCCTACCAGCCATAGGAGGGAGCCAGGCCAGAACCTGACAGAGCTGTGTACCCCACATATGGTGTTCCCTACCAGATACCTCCAGCAACAAGGACACAAGCTCTCTACCCCTCCTCCTCTCCCTGCAGTGGAAGCTGTCAGCTCCTACAACTCATTCTCACAGCTGTCCCAGAACTATTGCAAGACAGAGAAGTCAGCCACACGGCCACCTTGTTTTAAAGAGTCAACTGTCCAGCTTCTGCAACCATGTTATACAACTTCGTGTTCCACATGACTTGAGGTCTACATCACTCCTCCCCTAATCTTCATGCTCATCAATGATCAGATGTAAATAAGTGCATACACTCTGTAAGCCCAGGATGTGAGGAGACCCAGGGAGAGGCGCAGAGAGGAGGAGAGGGGCGTGTATGACCCAGGGAGAGGAAAGGAAGACAGTGAGGAGGCAAGGGCATGAGCTGGGTGAAGGGGAGGAGAGTCTTCCTATAGAAAGTTCTAGTTCCAGTCAGGCAGCTGTAAGAAAGGGAGGAGCATGTGTGGTTGGGGCTGAGATGTTGGACGGGCAGGGGCAGGAGCAAATTTCCTGCAGAGCAGAGTTGGGGGTGCAGGGCATGGGTTCCTATGAGTAGAAGAGCATGCCACCCCAGGGAGGTCAAGTCAAACCCTTCCCATGAGCCTCTTTCCCTTTCTGTTCTAACCAGTCTTGGACTGATCAGGTAACTGACATCTGTATTCTTTTCTTCACCTGCAACTTCCACCAGGCTCCCGTGGTGCTCTTCCCCTGTCCTAGAAGTCGAGAACCTGGTGTAATATTTTTATTCCAGTGAGTGATCCTTTGCTTTCAATTGACTAAAATGACAGAATGTTTCCATAGGGCTTGAGAAGGCTGTAGAACATCACTCCAGACAAGGCCAACATCCTTGGACTATTTGTGTCCAGTGCCCACATTCAGGGTCTAGCAAACATTCATTGTTAGGTTGGTACAAGATGTCAGTCAATGATGTAATGTGCATTCTTGCTGAGTGGGGTGTCTGTAGAGTCCTCCTGGTTACCACGCAGGCTGTGATCAGATCACTGAGTCAGCAGGGTCTGTCCAGATGGCAGGGGATCCAGAGTGTTGTTTGAGGGGATCCTGTAGATTAGTGGTTCTCAGCCTTCCCAATGTTGTGACCCTTTGTACAGAACCTATTGTTGTGGTGACCTCCAACCATACAATTATTTTAGTTGTTACTTCATACATAATTTGATAACTATTATGAGTCATAATGTAAATATCTGTGTATTATGATGGTCTTAAGTGACCCTGTGAAATGGTCAACACACCGCCAAAGTGCTTGAGACCATCAGGTTTAGAACCACTGGTTTAGATAAAGCAGTTTGAGTTCCATGAGTGTCTCTTTGGGTGGAATACGAGTTTCTGAAACATGATCTCTACGTAATTCACCAATGAACTTGGGTTTCTTTTTTATGCTGAGAATCCTGGCATTGGTCTTGGGAATATGGGCATTGTATTAGTTTGGCACATTTCAATCCACTCCCGTGCCATATCTGAGGACGTCTTGCATACAGAGTTTCTAGGGAAGCCTACATGCCCAGTCCTACTGGCAGTGATGGGGCAGTGGGTCAGCAGGTCTTGGCAAGGAGGGCTTGACACTTGTCTCCCTGTTTGGTGTAACATTTCCCAGATGCCCAAGGCCTGGGAGGTAGTGATGTCAGACACAAAGTACATTCTTTTTTTCCGTTTTTTGAGACAGGGTTTCTCTGTGTACCTTTGGAGCCTATCTTGTCTCTCACTCTGTAGACTTGGCTGTCCTCAAACTCACAGAGATCCACCTGCCGCTGCCTCCCAAGTGTTGGGATTAAAGATATGCACCACCACCACTCTGCAAAAATACATTCTTTTCTGGCATTCACTCACTGAATTAACTCCCTTCATGCTGTTTCCAACCTATTGTCGTGAAGAAGCCCTGTGACCAAGGCAACTTAGAGAAAGCATGGGACTTAAGGGTACACAGTTGCAGAGGGTGACAGTACACTTCCATTGTTATGGGAAACTAGCATCAGGCAGGATGACGTGGCATTGGAGCTGTACCTGATGACTTACCTCTGATTCTCAAGCGTGACACACACAGAGATGACTTTGAATGGATTTGGATTTTGAATCTTTAAAGCTCTGTGACCCCTGCTGACACCTCCTCCAACAAGGCCACACCTCCTGCTCCTTCTCACCTTCAGCTAGTGCGGTAAGTACCTAAACATGCTCATCTATGAGGGACACTCTTATTCTAACCAACACTGCTTATTAACAAGGGACTTGGAAAGGAATCTCTTTGGGTAGCATTGCACTGAGATGTCAGGGACCTCCAGCCATCAGTCAGCTAGGCTGTATCATGCACTCGTAGGGAAGATGTGACACTAAGACCACTCTGACATAAAGCAAATTCCAAGTAACAAGCCTGGGGTTTACCAGTCAGTTAAAGATTAGCTTAATTGGAAAATCTACAAGGTCCTCAGGAAACAGGCCTGAGCACCAGTAAATTACAATAGATAGGATCGGATTCTGCTGCCAGGTTAACAAGCAACATAGGAGTTCCTACCCCCGACCTCTTGCCCTATAGATTAGGTAGCTAGGCAACACAGCAGACCACCTCTCCCACTGACCTCTTGCCCCTGTAGCTGCAAGTACACCTTCCCCCTTTCCCTCCTCAGTTCTCCTATATAAATCCCTTTGTATGAATGTTGTAGCCTTGATCAGACTCCTGTCTTGGCGTCCGTTCCTGTATCCCCTGTCCTCCATCTTTCTCCTAGGTGTCCACCAGACCCACGTTAAATGTCCTGCGGGTTGGGACATATTTGGTGCCCAGCGTGGACTGAAGTCGGATAGCCAGGAGGAAGATGCCGCTCACGGAGTGAAGGGCCCTTCCAGATTGTCCCCCAGATGATGGCACAGTCTTCATTTTGGTGACCCGCCGAAAAGAGCAAGACAGATGAGGTGGTGAGCAATGGCGCAGATCTTACAGCCAATGTAAGTGATGGGACAGGCATTCTCTCAAAAGTCTCTCTTTCTTTCCAGGCTCAAAGAAGCCCTCAGGATACGAGGAATTAGGGTGAAAAAGAAGGATCTTATACAATTCTTAGGAGTAACACAGGTTAAAAATAAAGGTTTAAAGAGGTTATAACTTATATGAGAATATGGGAAATGTTTGTCCCTGGAGGGGCTGATAAATATAGACAAAGAAAAGGTGGTAACTGCCTTCAAGATTATTAAGGGAATGTATAAGAAGGAAATTGTTGGTCAGATAATTGTATATTCACTTGTGTGTGTTTTGATAGCCAGGAGAGCTAAAATGAAGCAAAACTGCAGAGGACTTTGGAGTTTTAAAGGCTCCTTCCCGTCTCACAGAAACCACTGCTGCAGTTGTATCACAGGTGCTGTGCCAGGGCTGGGGAAGCGAAGGTGCTACCTGCAAACTTGCATACTTGCAGAACAGCAGGAAATATCTGCCCCTGACCAGTTAGCAGTATGATAAGAGACCTCAGTACCTACTGAGGAGCAGCTAGATCAGAAAACACACAAACAAATAAACAAAAACCGTACAGGACAGAGAGATTAGGAACTAGAAATACAGACAGACAGAAACCTAGTGGTGAAATTCAGCAAAAACTAAGAGGCTTGAAAGATTTAGCAAAATCGCTCTCACAGGAGATAAGAACTTTTCAAGTTTCCTCAGATCAGAGAAATGTTCTTTGTCTAAGGCAGCCTAGGGGCAAGCACCCCTCAAGTCACAACAGCTGCAACAGGTCAGATGTCTTCAGTGCAGGTTAGTGTTAGAGAAGAGGCAAACAATACAAATAAACAAAAAGAGCCCAAAACCTTCCTGTTTGTTATAAGGTGCTCCCTGAGGAAGGACAAATACAAAGACATAGATCAGCAGTTAACGCTTGAGATAGCAGTGTATAAACAGATTGGCCCAGCAGCAGAGAGAACTTGGAACAAGCTTCCAGCTGCCAGGACACAGGCTAAGTAAAGGCTTCAGAAAGAGCAGGCATGGACCTAAGGAGTTGTTTCAAAAATTTTTGTCTCTAGGATAATGCAGGCTTCATCCAAAATAAGGGGAGATACAGATGTTAAATCTTTGAGACAACTAGTTTATAAAATGCTAATACAACATGCCAGGCCATGCTAAGACCTTATAGAAAGGAAAGTGACACAAACGAGTCTATTAAAGATTTGTTCAGATAGCGGGCCTTATAAAGAAAGAAAGACAACATAGATAAATTGAGTTGTTCAGATTTTGGATGCTCATAAAACAAAAATTGGCTATAGCTGCTGGGTTACAAGAGACTTCAATTAAGCATGTTTCATTTCAACTAACTAATCATAACCTAGGCAATAGGAGAGATGAGAGATATGTGTGCATGTTCTGTGTATAAACTGTGGCCACACCAGTATGTTTGGAATGTGAGTGTAAATGTGTGAATGTTGACACAAGCAACTGTTCGAATTGCCTTGGATATGATTAAAAGGATACTTAAATCACTTCAGACATAGCTAAAAAGCTACCTAAATTGCTTTAGATATAGCCAAAAGGAGCATCCATCCAGTCAGTTAATGCCTTAACAGGAGAGATGAAAGATTTAAGCCTTCAGAGACAGTCAATAGAAAATAGCAGAAGCCTAGGAGCCAGGAGAATCTGCATGGATGATTCTATGGAGTTTAACAAAGGAGAGGATACAGAGATCCTCCTAAATTTTTATGGTTAAAAAACAAAACCTAGAAGTTAGAAGTTAATACATGATTTGAAAAGGTTTTTCAGGGAACTAGTCTTGGTCAGGCCCCACCCCCAAAGGTGTCTGTGTAGATGCAAATTAGCCCTTGTCAGCTAAGATACAAATGAGGCCTTGTCAGCTAGTGAGAGCTCTTCCTGTTAGACTGGAAAAGATTCCTCACAGACTTAGTAATTTTCAAAAGTTATTTGGAACATATGTTATATTCTAAAAGAAATTAAACCTCAATTTGGACAATTAAAAAAGGAGAGTTCACAATATTTTGAGCGATTTTCAGAAATTGCTGGGAAATATTCAATGGTTGTGTCCTTTTTTAAAGTGTTCTACTGTGACTTAAAACCCTTAACTGAGATTCTAAAAGAAAATAGTGATCCCAATTCACCTAGATGGTTGACTAAAGAAGGTAACAAGGCTTAGTGTTAGAAAGTATAGTCTGGCATCAGCAGATGTTATACTAACAATACAATACCATGGAAAGCTTATGCTGTTTCCCCAGCCAAAGTGTTAAATCCTTATTTTAGCAGTAGTCTATATGGTGCTGAAATAGCACATAGAATCTGGGAGATATTTTGACAGAAAACAAAGTGTAATACTGTTGTGCCAGGTTTATGGATTCCCCGAGACTAACCCAAGGAGTTGACACTTCTGATGCAAAGGAAAAAGGTTGTGTTAGTCCAGGCTTGTCAGATTGGATTTCTTTCCATGATGGAGGAGATGAGATATCCACCAACAAAATAAAGAGGGGGGGGTGTTAAAAAGGGGGCCACAAGTTTCAGTTTCCATGGTTACTTAGGGTCATATAATATCTGGAGTAAAACAGTAACTATATGTTTTGGGCTAGATGTATCTGAGTAAGATAAGACTTACAGAGTTATTGAGGCTACCAGGGTCTGTCAGTTAGTCCCTGGGCCAGAGAATCTTTACAACTGGCAGAGGACCTTTGTGACCTACAATTAGCAAAGGAATGTTAACAGGAGTGGTGGACAGCTGCCTCCCCTTCTCTGAGAGCAGGGGCTCAGGCACCCCTGATTTAAGGAGTTAAATCTTCCTTTATCATTAAGTTGCCTCTCTCTGTATAGATTTAGGGTTCAGGTTTTTAAACTTTTAATTTTATCTTTTAATTCCTCAATACATGTTGCATATAGCAAGCAACAAGTTGATTGTTTCAGAACAGTGATTTGTGGACAACTGATTTGCTCAGTTTTCAGGGAGAATTGATAATCAGTTTATAGCTCATAGGCTGTTAAAGTTTGAGCGAATACATCCTTTTATGTTCTCCAAAATAATAAAACATAGTCCTGTAAAAAATGTTGTGCTAGTTTTTACTAATGGTTATTCTAATGGAAGAACGACTTATGGTATAGATTGTAAGAAATATGTAGAGCAAACATCTCTGTCTTCAGCTCAGATAGTCAAGTTATGAGATGTTACAATGGTTCTTCAACTTCTAGAAAATAATTCACTTAATTGTATAGTGACAATCATTATGTTTTTAAATCTCCTCAAATAATAAGGACAGTTCAGTACATTAAAACTAACAATGATCAGGTTAAAAAATTATTTAAACAAATTCAAAATACAATTGCCATGTTTTGTGGGTAATATAAGAGCTCATTCAAACCATCCCAGCCTATTGGCTAAGGGAAATGAGTCAACAAACAAACTAACATAGTTGCTCACTTTGATTCTGGTGGAGAAAGCTCTTCAGTCTCATTAATTTTCATCATCAAAATAACAAAAGTCTAGGAAAGCAATTTGGTTTAACCATAGAGACTGCTTATCAAAATTGTCAAACAATGAGATGTGCCCACAATAATTATCTGTAACTAATTTAGGAGTGAACCCTAGAGGCCTACTTCCTAATCATGCAATAAATTTATACATTTATGTTACAGAATTTGACAAGTTATAATATGTACACATTGTATTCAGGTTTTTTGATGGCCACCACATAAACTGAAAAGGTTATCAAGCATATGATAAGTCACTGTTTAAAATGTTTTGCTTACATGGGAGTTCCAATGTTGATAAAAAATATACAATAAGTCTGGATATTCTAATAAGACATTCAGCTACTTTGTACTCAATAGAAAATCAATCACCAGGTATTCCTTACAATTCTCAGGGAATTTTAGAGCATGCTCATAGCTCCTTAAAATACAACTTCTAAAAACTAAAAAGGGGGGAGTAATAGTAATGTCACTAAACCCCACCTGGTAAGTTTTTACATGTGAAAATGAAATGGCTTCTTCCATGTTGTCTACAAATTGGACAGGGTTATATGTATTAGCCACACTTCTCCCAGATGTGGAGTTTATTCCAGGAAGTGAGACCATAGATTATCTTATTCCTAGACATAAGAGAGCCATCTAATTCATCCCCCTGTTAGTGGGACTTGGAGTATCGGTCCTTAGCCACTGGCTCTGCAGGCATGGCAGTAGCAATTCAGACATACTCCAAAATGAACGTTAGTCACATGCTGCCTACAAAAATGGCTATAAAACCACCTTTGTCTCCACATGATGTATTAAATCCTGCAGCCTTCATTTTAAACTTTGAAAATGTGGATGCCAGCAAAACAATCTGCTACAGACAGATTCTGGCATGATGGAACTCGAGCATCTGTCAGATAAAACATCCATACACGAGACAGTGGAAAAGACCCAATTTGGGGGGGGGAGGGAATGTTTGTGTTTTCTTACAGGAAAAGAAGAAAGCTTTGTGGCTGCCAACAACTTGGTGGGATGCATGGAGTGAGGAAAAAACCGGACCTGAAACCATGGAAAGCTGTCCAAACCAGCTCCAGTGAAACATGCTGAACCAGTGTTCCTGACTGCACAGTCCCCGCCCCTGCCCAGTTTCCAAATTGCCTCAAGCCATCCTCACCTCTGCAACCTCACTCTCTTCTAGTATACTAACTCCTCCTCTTATCTGATCCCTGAGAATGGTAAGCCTGTCAAGCATGGCCTTACTACCTGCTAAATTCTGCCCCTATGTTTTACATTATAGTTAAATTAGTTCCCTGCCTTGACTATTATTCTAAGCACGACGTGCTTTTGGGGCTGGGATCCACAGGAGCAGGCACTAGGATTTCATTCCTTGTGCTCTCTAACAAGGAGGAATCTGTTCAGCCCTTAAAGAAGAATGCTGTTTCTATGTTAACAAAACAAGGAGAGTCAAAGATAGCATGAAGAAAAACAGAGAGGGTATAGAGAAAAGAAAGAGAGAGGGAGCAACAGAAGAGCTGGTATAATTGGTTTTCTACTTCTCCCTGACTATCTACCTTATTGCCCAACATTTTGCTCCTGCCCCCTTCTTTAGGCTTTATATTGCTTATTTATTTTGGCCCATGGGCCCTTAGGTGCGTGACAGACTTTATTAAACAGCAAATGGATAATCATGTCACAAAGCCTATCCAGATCCATTATCAGAGGCTGGCCATGAAGGAGAGGGGTCCTTATCTGAAGGCTGATGATAGTAATGGCAAGGAGGAAGGTGAACTTTGCCTAATGTTCCCAGTCTCCACATAGCAAATGGAAACAAAATCCCCTGGGGCACATAATCTGCTCGTGACCCACCCCCTGCAGCCCCAGCCAGGGGCCTTGGAAGGCCCCTTTACCCACAAAATAAATAACCACCACTATTGATGGATGACCATGGACGGGCTCCCTTCTGATGCCCCCTCCCCCAAGACAGGAGCTTTGAAGGCTGGCAAAGTAATCTGATGAGAGGTAAGGGGTGAAGCCTCTCAGATCAATCCTAAGACAGACTCCATCATCTTTTTGGTTTTGGGGGGTAACTTATACTCCAGCTACACCTATTTTCTGTTTAACCAGAAAGGGGGAGATGTCAGGGACCTCCAGCCATCAGTCAGCTAGGCTGTATCATGTACTCATAGAGACAACATGACACTAAGACCACCCTGCCACCCCTTCTGACATAAAGCAAATTCCAAGTAACAAGCCTGGGGTTTACCAGTCAGTTAAAGATTAGCTTAATTGGAAAAACTACAAGGTCCTCAGGAAACAGGCCTGAGCATCAGTAAATTACAATAGATAGGATCTGATCCTGCTGTCAGGTTAGCAAGAAACATAGGAATTCCTACCCCTGACCTCTTGCCCTGTAGATTAGGTAGCCAGGCAACGCAGCAGACCACCTCTCCCACTGACCTCTTGCCCCTGCAGCTGCAAGTACACCTTCCCCCTTTCCCTCCTCAGTTCTCCTATATAAATCCCTTGGCATAAAAGTTGTCACCTTCATCAGAATCCTGTCTTGGCATCCATTCCTGTATCCCCTGTCCTCCATCTTTCTCCTAGGTGTCCACCAGACCCACGTTGAATGTCCTGTGGGTTGGGACACTGAGATATGTTGATTTCCCCACCCCTCTGCTCTTCCTGCATTTTCAGAGAGCAGATAACACCAATGTCTGTTTTCCAATTAAGATATTCCAGATTTACAGACCTGCACCTTC